AGCACACTAAATAACCTTCGCCCCTTTCCAATAGCTTAGATGGGACAGAAACGTTAGGAGGCTAAACACCATTTCATTTCACCCATCTATAATTGGAAGACTTGCAGACTGTATTGTCTAAAAGTACATGTATATCCTATCTATAAAATAATCAATAAACATTTCTAGCATGTCTTGTCAATAACAGATAACTATTGATTTAACGAGATGTACCTAAACGGTTAGATCCAAATGCAATATTTTAGATACATATACTTTCGCTGATATTTCACTGTTTTCAGAGCCTAATAGAGTGTACAATATTGCCTATGTCGTCAGCGTACGTCCATTAAGACACTTTGCACTGATTAAAAAATTCAGAGGACTATTATTTTCAATGTTGTATGAAATCAGAGATATTGTATAACCCATTAAAGTGCACAATATTGCCTGCAGTGATTTTTAAAGTCGGCCGCGTACGTTCATTAAAATGGTTTGATCTGATTATTTCAGAAGGCTTTGATATGTTATAACATGGGGAACCTAGGTTAAATGATATTATATGAAATCAATTATATTTAATTATTGAAAGTATCGATAAGTCTTTATTTGGCAGTTGACATTGACAACGAGGATCGTTACTAAGAACTATATCATTTAGATGCAAATTATCAAATCGTGATTGGCTGATGTTACGTATATAGCGCAGCAACTGTGCGCGTCTGTATACATAGACCATCCCGATTGTCAGTGAAACTGTCACGCGGGAATACTATCTTACCGTACATATATATTTTTTATTCATCCAACATGAATTATATCTTCGCTGTCGTTGTCTTAACTGGTGAGTTTGTCTTCTTTGTTTTTACGTAGACATTTTGTGTTGACAGTTGTAGATTTCTTGGGTGTCATTTCTTATTTCTATATGACTACAAAAACAGTATAGGGTAGGTCCTACTTGTAGTTTCCAATTAAACTAAAGTTGTATCGAGTGTTCTAGAAATATGTTTGAACTTTGTTAGCCGAGAGAACGTCCAAAATCAGAAGTGATTCTAGAAAAATGAATAAGATTCACCACTTTGTATTCCTGGAGGGTAAATTTGATGCTCTCAGGTATTGATGGCCAGCAATTGTTAAGTATGGAATACTAGAACAACTTTTCCAATTAAACCCAAATTCGTAACCGCTTTTCTATAAAAGTAAATTAAATTTGTATCTAAGTTTGCGAACATTCCAAATCAGAAATGATAAGAGGGATTCTAAAAAAATAATAAATTGATCATTTTGTATTGTTGCAGTGTAAATTAGATTATCCCCAGGTATCTATGATAACACCTGTATTTCTTGAACTAGGCGTATTTCTTATACAAGTATTGCAGGACATTTCTATCTGTCTCTAACCAGCTTTGTCACTCTAAATCTGCTTGTAATATTTAGATTTTATGTATTTTCCGTAACCATGCCCGGATTATGCTGTGCAACATCGCGCTCCTAAATGGATAACCATATTTGATGTAAAAAAAACAAGTATGACCGTTAGGATGCTTTCATGGGTAATTAATTGCACACTGTAACGATAGTAACGACAGGAACAGTGGTTAACACTACGTATTAATCAACTTGCTTAATTAGGCAAAATGAATCAAATATTTTATCTTCGTGGTCAGTATAAGTGTGAATTAGCAACGGCGGAAACGTGTTTAAAGGCTCAATACCACTCTTGTTGTAACTGAATAATGTCCTAATCTTTATTCTGGTCAACAAATTGTACTATTTTACAATATTCCAATTAATTGATGATACAAATTTCATCTTAAAGGACCTAATTTAAATAATGGAAAAATTCAACTAATTGATTTGAAAAGCCTGACGTAAAGCTTTTCAAATGTGACTTGGATTTAAAAATATTTTTGAACCCTTTGGACAAGTAAAATAGGATTTAATGGATAATTTACACAACAGGTAGGACACTAACACATCTAGTACTTAGAATAAGGCTATTTTTTATTTTCTGGAGCTGTCAAGCCAGCAAGAGTGTTATTGCCCCTTTAAGTAGGCAATATGAATCAATTATTAAATCTTCCCGATCATTACAAATGTAACTACGACAGAGACAGTGGTTGACAATCTGCATTAATTAGCGCAATATGAATCAATTATATTATCTTCCCGATCATTACAAATGACAAGGAACAACCTATAATAGCTGTTCGGAAAGGATGAAAAACCGGGGTTCTGTGTACAAATTTGCGTGCATGTAAAAGAACTCTTGACATTTGGAATTCGAAATAAGAGTAGATCGTAGTGCCGCTGTTCGGGAAAAATGTTCCTCATAGCATTCTGTATGGCATATGTCCATCTCCATTAGCCGAGTCAGGGCAGAACACTCGGAGCAGAATATACTAAACTTAGGCTGCCCGTCTACATTTAGCTCCACTTGTATTGGGAACTCTGAAAGTGTGAAATAGATGGATCTCTGTGACAAAATGATTGTTAAAGTGTAATGACTGATGAGTCACCAGATGAATGCGACAACCAGTCTACATCAACACGATCGATAGTTATAATGGAATACTCTCTATATAGTACAGATAATGTTGATCATCCAAAATAGATATACATATATAATAATGACGCTAAATATAAAGATTTCTACACTGATAAAAATAAATGTTAAATGTTAGAATCGCCTCGATGTTTTAATTTTGAAAAAAAAAACAACAAAAAACAAAAATGCAACTACAATTGAAAAATGCTTTATTTAAAAACAAACACTACTGAGGGCATGAAAATAGCTTGAAGTCTCTTGAGAAATAAATAAGGTTTGTAACGCTATTAGTGATAACAGAGGTTCAGTTTAGTAAATATTATAGTATTTATTTACATTGGGAACAAGAACGTAACTACACAGGAACATAAATCAAACAGCAAGTTAAATACATCAGAAACATAAACCAAACAGGAACTTAAAGTAGATAATTCTCTTACTCAATATCATCCAAAGTCTTACACGTTTGAAAATTGTGAGATACCCTCCCACCGTCCCATATAATAACTTTTCAACTTCAAATGAATTATCAGTGAAATGAAATTCGATCGTTTGTCTGTTATCGCTCGTTACTTCAATCAGATATATAGAAGGATAACTCGTGTTTGTCATGTTTGGCGTCACTTCCCGTTTCTTTACGTGCTTGTTACACATCTCCCGTAGCAATGATCTCTGTGTTAAAATAATATTTGGAATGTATTTAACCAGTTCTATCACATATTTTATAATGACTGACACCAATATTGTCCTTTAAGTCTATAATTAAATAAGTGCATATATATATGTAGTGGACAGTATATATTATACAGTAGGTCAATAACATATGGGGTTCAATAAGTTTAATAATATTTTATATGAGAGAATCTAGTCTAACTTTCATGAAAGTTATAGAGCACTTTGTCACAGCTTTCATTTTGAAAGTCGACTGCATATTTCCGTTACTGTGTACGATCTCCGCTTATGCAATCAAACTATTAAACTATTCAACATTGTGTATTTAAATTTTGTGGGTTTTTTTTAAAATTTTGTTGGAAAGAAAAATATATTTATATATCGGTGAATTTATTATTTGTATAAAAGAAAGATTTATTAAAAATTTCGGTGAATTTATTACCGTTGATAAGAAAGATGTATATATACCTATGACAGGATGTATAGGACATAAATATGTCTGTATGATTTATATGGTAATGTAACATGTAAAATAAATAAAATTATGTTAACATAACAGTTCTTAAAATAGATAGAGGTGCAGCCATTTATAGAGTATACTTTTTTATGAAATCCCGACAATTGAGAATTATATATAATACTCACACTTTTTAAAAAAAAATCTGAGTACTTGTGCATAAGGGTCTTTGGCAGTGAGAAGAAACCGGAGAACCAACAGAATTGCCACGAGGTTGGACAGGCGATCCTACGCATTATCATGTACAGGCCTAGGATAGACACCACCCAACGTGACGCAATGACAGACTTTATGATCTAAAACAGACGCATTTGACCACTGGACTCCACTGATGTTTTAGGGAATTTAAAAAATTGGATATTTCATTTAGTAGCACTTACTAATTGCTTAACATCAAACATTTATCTGTCAAAACAGAGTAATTCTATATATAAAAGGACACAAATATTTCATACAAAAACCTAGAAAAGAGAAGGAAAATGTTCAGCACGAGTGCACATTTCTCTTGTTTTAAATATTTATGTCAAAGGACTGATACAAAGCATAATTGACATAATCGTGTGTAGATTACAGACCTTATATTATATGGGAAACGGAGCTTGCACCTGTGCCTTCTTCAAGAGGGTGGCCATAATGCTCCTTAATTGTCCCTAAAAATCAGAATTCCACCTTTTATAGATTTAACTTTTAATTAAAAAAAAATCCCATATTTTCGCTTTTTTTTTAAATTTTCATAACCGCCTAAAATATCCTTGTCTTTCTGCGAAATGAAATGAAATGGGTTTAACGTCCTACTCTTCTGCTCCGACTGACAGAGCTAAGAGCTTGGTTACGGGGATATGTAGCGTGAAGAGTCACATGGCAACTTCGTTCATAATTTGAGGCAAGATATGACCAGATTCTGATGTGCGTGGTAGGGACCGTTCAGACTATCGAACATTTCGGACAAAGAGGCCAGCATTAGCATTAAAGCCAATGGCCAAATTATTGGTTGTCGGCATCCTATACTTGGCTAAACGGATGTAAATATAATATGTGGAGTGATGTGTGACTGTTCGTAAATCTGGGGACAACTTTTTTTCCAGTCGGTAACATAATTAATCAGCAGATTTATTTAACCATTGGTAAAGTTTACATACAAATCGAATTATCGTGTTTAGGAGAGAGCGGCCAAAAATATATATTTAACTATAAACTGTCCTAGGGGTTATTTAACAGTTGGTGAATATGTTGTAACACAGAAATCCCCTGATAATATATCTTTATTCATTATATTTCGTCTAGTGTTAAACTCTATAAATGTTGCTAATGGTGATTGTGTGACAGCAACTGGTGATGGTTGCAGAACAACCTACAATGCTGCCAACACAACAACAGACCCATTGAAATGCACGTAAGTATTTTTGAATGTAATATGACAGTTGACAGAGAAAACACAACAAATAACTAATGGAATTCGGATTAACGCCTTGTCACACTTTACTTGAGTTAATTTGAGAGTAACTTACGAAACAATTGGGTCGGTACGGGAAATTGTCCACCTTCTCGCCTTCGTATTTTAACAACTGAAGAAAATGAAGACGGGCATACGCCATTCAGTGTGCTGTTAGGCAAATCTGGCCCGGACACCGGTGCTATGGCCTTCTCTTATTTCGAATTCCATGTCAATGGTTATTTTACGTGCACCCCTATTTGTACACGTGACCTCGGTTTTTCGTCTCGTCCGAACGACTATACCCTGTCCTTTGCCATGCTCTCCGTCCTACATCACTGACAAGGGGAACCCGATGGATTTTCTCTGATAACTGCGAATACGTTTTGTGGTCCATGCGTTTACCGTAATAATGGACAATCGAGACTGTGTTTATTATTGTTACAACGGTAGTAGTGACAACCGAGAATAGACAATAATTGTATCGCCGATATCGAGGTCTGACATTTTCAGCATATTCTATTTTCATTATCTATTTTTTTTTAACTATTATAGAGAAAACTGTCAGCTCTTTATCTAATCTTACCTAATGTCGCTTTAAGTAAACTTTAACGAAAGTTGTTGTGTACCTGTATTTACTGTACTAAAGGAATTAATGATGTGGTTATTGTATTTATTGCCTTCATTATTTCAGAGCTGCCTATGCCTATGGTTCATGTTTAGTTAATGCAGATTGTAATAACGGCACTTATTTAACTAATTTCATAGCAGATACAGGTTCTGGTTTTACATGTGACAGTAAGTAATGTTCACCTATTCGAAAACGTATAAGTTAGCCAATAGGTATCTGACTTTTTACTGGTGAATATCACACTGAGCAGCAGTGAATATTCGCTAGGCATCTACAATCACTGATAAGGATGACATCGATGCGACTTAATGAGCCACAAATATTAACTTTTTTCCCCGACAAATTTAATTCTAAATCATTTTTTCTATGTATTAGAAAAATAAATAAAGACGTTTGAAGTATTTGTAGGTAAAAATTATTTCTTATTTAGTGTAAATAGGTATTAAAATGAGTAAAAGGCAGCATTCTACCCGATACAGTAACGTCTTATGTAAACAATACACGCGCCATTGAGCCAATGATTGACGCCGCGTGATATGACATCACGTGTTGAAGGCAGTCATCTTTTACAAAGATATTAGAAGACTTTCATAATACTCTGTGAAACAGATTGGGTCAGTATATGTACCACTGTTAAATTTATATGTATATTTACAGTTATAAGTATTTACAGTGCAGGATTTGTCAAATCACATGGTTTGTTAACTTACATTTAAAACGATGTCGATGCATATGAATACAAGGCTTATGTAAAATTACATTAAATTTAATGTAGTAATGTGGCGCCAGGCAGGGTAAGCTTACTCTTCCGGACACCTGTTACCACTGTTTGTCGTGTATTTTGTACACGGTGAACAGTCCATATGCTGATTACACTATTTTGCCTATACCGTTTTTGTTTTTTAGGACTTCGAATTTTGTCTAATGGTTTGGATTGTTCGTACTTGGTTTTATTTTATAAATACAACCATATGTTAGTTTACATTATATGAGCTGTATATTAACAGAAATGCCGTTTGAAGTATTATTTTTACAGAAAATTGTAAATTTACTGTCAAATAGTGGTCACATCGGTTATTCCCCCTTTGACCACATATCGAATTTTGTGCAAAATATTGACTGTTCTGTCAGTCACCTTAGTCCATTTTAGAGAAATAGGTTATTCAAAATCTGAATGCACGGAACTGGCTAATAAAGACAGGCATATGCCATACATTGAGATGTGTGGGGCATTTTGCTTGGACGGTGTCATGCCACCTACTCTTCCATTGTAAGTAACAGAACAGTAGCACATTAAACCCCATTTCATTTCATTTCTTTATTGTCTGCGATATCACCTCAGTGGAAGCGGACGTAAAATATAACTAACTCACACAATTTCTTTACATTATCGAATGTTGTGTTACGTAATCGGCTGAAAGTTCCACAAAACTTTCCGTGTTCGCCAGGATAGAACCTATGACTAATTAGCCAAGCGGGGACAAACACATTCCTTTTAGTAAAATTACATAATATATAATTCTACAATAGTTATGAGGTATTAATACATAAACTCTGTTAAAATACACAATATTATTTTGTATTAAATGTTATTGTACAAATTTATGTAAATTAACATCATGATAATTTTACATGAACTCCATTTATAGATATGTAATTTTATCTTGGATGTATAATAGCTAGAGGTAAAGATACATTACAGACTGTGAAATAACATGCAATGTTAAAATACATTTATAACGATGGCAATATTTCTGCCAGTTAAAAAAGGGTAAAAATACATAATAATCACAAACCCAGAAAGGGAATATCGGTACCGCCATCTTTGCCAATAGAGAACATTGCACGGACGTTTACATAATGTTACTTTCTTATTGTGACAGCTGATCTTCTCAGCTACTTCGATAAAGGTTCATATGGATTCGTTCATACACCTTTACGTTATGTTTCACATAAAATCAAACCCGGTCACAGTATTCCATTACGTCGTTCTTGTCAATCATTTTAATTAAAATACCCGACAGTCGTTTTTGGCAGTTAGGGAAAAACCCTATCAGTTCTAAAAATTTCAAATTTCATTAAGAATCCTATCGAAATCCAGGCTCAAGGATCAATTTTACAAGGAGTTACATCCCTTTTCAATGAACGCTCTACAACATGGAGGTCCTGGAACTTTATTTCAAAATTATGGGAAGTGATGGGGTAGTCCCCACGAGGAACCTTATCGGAAGTGCGCAATTATTTTGTAAGAAAGATGTTTTAACTATGAAAGTTCATACCTTGCAATGTCCACGACCGACATTGCAATATAATGGCCCGTTCATATCTTTCATTCTTTAAAGGACAATATTGGTGCCAGTCATTATCACATACGTGATAGAACTGAGTAAACACGTTCCAAAAATTATTTCATCACAGAGATGAAATATAGGCATTGTGGATCCTTACAGGACAATATTGGTGCCAGTCATTATCACATATGTTATAGAACTGGTTAAACACGTCCCAAATATAATTTTAACACAGAGATCATTGCTACGAAAACACGGGTTATCCCTCTATATAACTGACTGAAGTGACGGGTGATAACAGATACATGAGCGAATTTCTGTTCACTAATAATTCCTTCGAAGATCAAAAGTTGTTTGGTAAGACTGTGAAAAGATATCTGACAATTCATAAAAAAAAATTGACTGTCACTAAATAAGAGAACATGAAACAAAAATGGAAAAAGTCCGTGCATTACCATGTTTTTACAAGTATAGAATAAATAAACACAAGAGAATGTACGAACTGTTTTATTTTTTTCTCGTGTTCTCTTATCTAAGGGCCTGACAAGGACAGCTGTCTAGTCCTTCGGATGATACGAAAAACCGAGGTCCCGTGTATATATCGGAATGCACGTAAAAGATCCCCTGGCAGTTGGAATTCGATTTAACGTCCAACTGTTCTGCTCCTATGCTGGGCTAATGAAGACGGGCATACGCCATACAGTGTGCTATGAGGCAAATTTTGCCCGGACAGCGGCACTATCGCCTACTCTTATATCGAATTCCAACTGCCAAGGGATCTTTTACGTGCATTTCAATGTATACACGGGACCTCGGTTTTCCGTCTCATCCGAAGGACTAGACAGCTGTCCCTGTCAGGCCCTCCGGCCTGCATCACTGACAAGGGGGGGGGGGGGGCACGCGGGAAAATCCAGATGAACTTTCTAGGCCAATGGAATTGTCAGATATACTCTTACAGTCTCATATAACAACTTTTGGTCTTCGAAGGAATTATTAGTGAGCAGAAATTCGCCCATGTATCTGTTATCACTCGTCACTTCAGTCATTTATATATGGGGATAACTCGTGTTTTCCTTTTGCGTTCGTCACTTCCGATTGTTGAAACATTGATTACGCATCTATCGTAGCAATGATCTCTGTGTTAAAATTATATTTGGGACGTATTTAACCAGTTCTATCACATATGTGATAATGACTGGCACCAATATTGTCCTGTAAGGATCCACAATGCCTATATTACGTGCAAATATAATTCAGTGCGCTACTTGGTGTATATAAGAGATATTATTATGTTATACTCTACTACTAGTATTACCATATATTTCAGATTGTACATTACTTGATGTATATATCAGAGATATGTTATTATTACCATATATTTCAGACTGTATATTACTTGATGTATATGTTAAAGATATGTTATACTCTATAACTATTACCATCTCTATTTCAGATTGTACCTTAGGTACAGCAGTAGGTTGTCTTGAAGATGATTGCAGGTCAGAACAATATATGTATATACTTTGATTAGATTAATTCAAGACTAACATACGGTATTTTCGTATTTGTATATGTTTGCGTGTGCAATGCTATGACATCGTATACTTCTTCTACGATTTTTGTCCCATCCGAATGACTAGATACACGTATATTTGTCTTGTATGCCTTGCGGATTCCACTTCTGACAAAACCGAGGAACTCCCTGGATTTGAAATCGCGGACTTTCTAGTTTTAAGTATAGTATTCACAATTTGTCTATTCTGTATTAGAAAGACAACTGTTTAAACCATGTTTTCATTTTAGTGGTATGAATCTCATCAGTGCTCTTTCATTTAAGGATCCAGTCTATGCTCTTTAGGGGTGTTGGATAGCCGAATGGTTAGCGCGTGCGCATTATATCACAAGGTCTGCCATTGAGTCAACTGGCGTGGTTTCGATCCTCCGGTTAGGGTCGCCTGTCCAACCTTGTGGTTTTTTTTCCCGGTTGCCTCCCACTGCTAATGACGTCTATAGAAATTATAGAAATAAAATTGAATCATATGTTAGTCCCGAAATCACCTGGTTTGTGTCGAATTGACGTTACCCCCCCCCCCTTCTGGTCTGTATATTAAGTATCCCATCGGTGCTCTTTAAGTACACGTTGATTTAGGTATCCAATTGGTGCTCTTTTTGAAGTATCAACTCGGTTATTAATAATGAACACTATTTTGATATTACAGTGGCTTGCCAGCAGTTAAAACCTGTTTAGATAATGCTATGTGTAACACTGGTGACTTCAATGCAGCGTACACTGCGTATGTAGCTAAATGCAGTAAGTATTGTTTAAAATCATGAACCAGGTTGTGTTTTCATAAATCCAGTCAAGAACAGACACCCCCCACCCCACTTCTGAGACCCAACTAATGTTTTAGTCACACTTAGTCAGGGTATAATGTGCTTTTATCAATAGCTTACGTAATTAATTGAATGGTATTATGCTTAAAGGTCTGTACCTTTGATGTTTATTCTGTTACGACTACATTATCTACCGAATTGTCGTTTTTCTATGAAAAGTCTTAGAAAGGACAAGGGGCAGATTCGGGATTTTCAACAGGGTACGTCCAAAAATTTCAGATAGCCACATTAAGTGACAATTCGTCGTGAGCAAAGGCGGGAAAAGCACACGGTTGGGGTAAGGTGCGGGGTCCCCATAGAAAATTTGGAAAAATAGATGCCATTTCTGACTATTTCCGACTCCTGGCCCCCACTCTCGAATTTGTCTGCGATATCACCTCGGTGGAAGCGGACGTAAAATACAATTAACTCACACACACTCTCGATCAGCACCGGAAGCGGAACAATTAGAACGTACTGGACTCAAAGCATGTTAATAATGTTAACACAATAATTCTACTTTCAGATGGATGTGGTACAGTGACTGTCAGTGTATTGATGATGTTCTTCTCCACTCTACTTGTGTTTATCAAAATCTAATGACTCTTATTAAAAAATAAACTTGCCTTATATTGCTCCTTTATTATTTTATCTTATACAAGAACAAGATGTAGTATTTACAGATATTTGTTTGTTTTAGCATTGACCAATAAAGTAAACATTTTAAATGTTGAAATATTTGGATATGAAATGACCAAAACAAATTTTAAAATATATAAATTGTTGGAAAAGAAATGACCAAAACAAATTTTAAATGTCGAAATGTTTGGCTATGAAATGACAAAAACAAATTTAAAAAAAATGAAATTAAAATATAAATGCACAGACACTGTATTTTAACATAAAACTAAATTAGATATTTTTGTTTTTATATAATTGTTTTTATCTACATGTATTTGTAAATGCTTAGACTGTTTCATCATTGACCATTGTATAAAACATACAAAATGTTGAAAACTTTGGATATGAGATGATGAGAAGTGACATATTTATATAGAGAATATTTTTAAAGGCTAGAAGTGTGATCTGCATTTCGTTCAAATATCAAATTTCTCAGGCTTAATCCACGCTAATTATGTACTTAGATTAATTATTAAACATTAAATTAAACATTAAATTAAGGAAACAAATCAACTCTTCTGGCTGGGATTCAATACAATTTAAACTGGTGGCGTCGTGTTACATATCGAACAATATAGATCGATGAAATTTCAAATTATCTTGACTTTGTACACTCTGAACTTTCAAATTATCTTGACTTTGTACACTCTGAACAGAATTGGACTGATATGCCTATTAGAAATTAAACTTTCATAATATTTTAGTTTGCAAGGGATTCGTATAGCATTAAATGATATAAGCTAACTATATTAATATATCGAGAGATCTGTTGTTCGCCATTGACCATTGTATTTAACATGTTAACTGTTGAAGAATTTGGATATGAAATGATGTATACAATAAGTATGTCTGTATTATTTCGCCACTATTTTTTGATAACTATTTTGTATATTTCTAATTTCGTCTATTATCGTGTAATTATTTTAATAAATGAAAATATTTTAAAGAAAATTGTCGAAAGTGGAAGTAATTTTATAACTGACATTGGCGCAGGACATTTGGTGAGGATTCTGAGGCAAAGGGTGGTGGGGGCAAGAAATTGTTCAATTTTTGCATACCTTTATATCAGTTTTGGGCCGTGAATGCGGTATGCTGATATTGACCATACTGTCAAATACTTGACGTTATCGGTACTGTCCCACTGCTTCTTTATAGTTGTACGAAGCAGCGGGGCACAGTTTGTCAGTAGTGGGGCATTTGACCTGGTAACAGATCTGCCACAGATTTTTACATATTTCGATGGATCATTTGTTTGTAATTATGTATCAAACATCTTGGGTCTTCCGGTTGCCCCCCGAACGTTAGCAATCTGTGATGTGAGCAGTCGTATTGACGCTGTCTAGAATAATTTAGGTCGTTTCAAGTCGGCAGCAACACCTTATGTAAGTACTTACGAGAAGATGCTTTAATCAGATTAATTATCAAGATGAACAAAAGGAATCTTTTAAGACAATATTGTAAGACAAATATCGACCATCATACGTTGACTAAATGAATAAATGGAATTTAACGTCCTACGTTTCAGAAAACAGACCGGGCGTACGTCATACAGTGTGCTGTGGGCGAACGTTTTCTAGGACAGCAATTAAGTTCCAAATATCAAAGGCTTTTTAGAAAATAAATGTCTTAAGGGTGTTTATTTTCATTTCTTTTAAATATAAAGGATCTTTTCTTATCAAGGGATTCATTTAAATTACCGATTTTCGTAACTTGTTTTGAATTCAAATGTTTCTTCAAAATTATTGTATAAACTAATAATCCTAAGGCAAGATGTAATTTGTATTTTAAACGAAAAAATCAATGCATAAATTACTCCGAATAAATCTTAACATTTCATTTCGGACGCTCTTTCTTGATGTAGGCATCGACACCATTTCCAATTAGCGCGCATTGAAGACCTGCCAGTGAGATCAGCGAGATCCACAGTTTGACATAATCATATTGAGGTATATACAATTTGTTATGCCTGGAGGTCGGGTGTTCGATCCCTGCATTGGTCGAGAAAGTTCATCTCGATTTTCCGGCGTGGTTTCTCCTTGTCAGTGATGCAGAACGGAGGGCCCGACAAGGACAGCTGCCTAGTCGTTCGGATGGGACGAAAACCCGAGGTCCCGTGTACACATTGGCGTGCACGTAAAAGATCCCTTGGCAGTTGGAATTCGATATAAGAGTAGGCCGTAGCGCCGCTGCCCGGGCAAAATTTCCCTCATAGCACACTGTATGGCGTATGCCCGTCTTCAATTAGCCCAGGTTAGGTGCAGAAGAGTAGGACGTTAAACCCCATTTCATTTCACAATTTGTTATAAAATGTAATCAACCAAAGGAACTTCCATTTTGCCTTATTGTAATACGATAACTCCTTTATTATGAACAAGCCAACAGTGAGGCTGATGTCCCCCGCCGAAATCCCAAAATAAATATATGACACATATTAAGTAATCGCAGATTTATTTTTTTCAAAAGTATCGAGCAATCAAACAACACACTAAGTTTCATCACTCTCTATCAGATAGAATCACGATTATCTTGTCCCAAAGCATCGACCAATGAAATTGATTAGCTCTGCTTAGCTTTAGCTTGAAATGTTAATCATTGAAAGCAGTCAAGACATTCACCTAATGAACATCTACATCAGGTTTAAACATTCTACCTCAATTAAAAACAAAGTTTTTATGTTCCAAAGTCTTGACCAATCATATTGCTTATCGCTCCTTAGAAAAGGGAGAAAATTCGCACAATCGAACTTAGTCAAGGTAATGATATAATGAATCTATATTCAGAGTTTCATCGCTCTCACTTCATTATAACCAATGTTATCGTCCCTATAAAGCATCAACCAATCTTATCTGTGCCTACCGTAAGCAGACAACGTTTATCATCGAATTCCATCAAGGGATTCACCTAATGAATTCCAACACCAAGTTTGAACATTCTACCTCAATTAGAAGGGAGTTATTGTGTTCCAAAGTCTCGACCAATCAAATTGCTTATCGCTCTGCTTACCCTCAGCAGCAAATGTTCATTATCGAACTTAGTCAAGGTATTGATGTAATAAAGCTATACACCAAGTGTCCTCACTTAATTAGAACTAAAGTTATCGTGTCCCAAAGCATCAACCAATCAAATTGCTTATCTCTGCTTACCATAAGATTAAAATGCTCATCTTCGAACTCCATCAAGGCATTGACCCAATAAACACCTACACCAAGTTTGGACATTCTAGCTCAATTAGGAGGGTTATTGTGTTCTAAAATCTTGGCCAATTAAATTGCTTATCGCCATGCTTACCCTGAGCAGAAAATGCTCATTATCAAACTTAGTCAAGGTATTGATGTAATGAAACTATACACCAAGTTTCATCACTCTCACTTGATTAGAACTAAAGTTATTGTGTCCCAAAGCATCAACCAATCAAGCGTAAAATGCTCATCTTCGAACTCCATCAAGGTATTGACCTAATAAACATTCTCGCTCAATTAGAAAGAGAGTTATTGTGTCCCAAAAAGTGTGACAGACGGACAAACCCATTTTAATAGTCCCCTGCTTTCTTCAAAAGGCGGGGGACAAAAAACATGAAGGCTTATTTGAATTCAAAAGAAGTTATGAAATTCGGTAATTTAAATAAATCCCTCGATAACAAAGGACCCACTACAATTATAGGAAAGGTTGTAAAAGATGTTTTTATCTCAAAACCAGCGGCTGCCAGGCAGGATACGCCCACATTTTCGAGAGATGGATAGAAAACGAAAGTGATTTTTAATATAATCAGGGGCCATAATTCAGGAAATTACTATTCAATATGCGCGAATATCGAAAGGAACCGAGATCTTTGGGTTATAAACTTACATTTCAAGTTTCAACAAAATCGGATAGAAATTGTGACCTCTATAGGGTTCACAATCTTGATATACCATATTTGTACGCAATTTGAGAACGAGGGGCGGCCATTTTATCTGTCAGTTTTGGGCCGATTTTCACGAAATTCGAACTCAGTCGTCCTTAGGCTGTAATGGTGATATAATAATACGATTTTTTAAATCTGATAAAAATAATGACCTCTATAGGGTCCACAAGCTAAAAACGTGATTTTTCGTACAATCAGGGGTCATAATTCAGGAAGTTACGGTCCGATATGCGCGAATATCGAAAAGAACCGATATCTTTGGGTTACAAACTTACATTTCAAGTTTCAACAAAATCGGATAAAAATTGTGACCTCTATAGGGTCCACAATTATACCATATTTTTACGCAATTTGAGAACGAACGGCGGCCATTTTGTCTGTCAGTTTTGGGCCGATTTTCACGAAATTCGAACTCAGCTGTCCTTAGTGTGTAATGGTGATATAATAATGCGGTTTGTTTTAAATCGGATAAAAATTATGACCTCTATAGAGTCCACAAGCTAAAAACGCGATTTATTCAGTCGTCCTTAGGGTGTAACGGTGATATAATAATACGTTTTTTTTTAAATCGGATAAAAAATTATGACCTCTATAGGGTCCACAAGCTAAAAACGCGATTTTTCGTACAATCAGGGGCCATAATTCAGGAAGTTACGGTCCGATATGCGCGAATATCGAAAGGAACCGAGATCTTTGGGTTATAAACTTACATTTCAAGTTTCAACAAAATCGGATAAAAATTGTGACTTCTATAGGGTCCACAACCTTGATATACCATATTTTTACGCTATTTGAGAACGAACGGCGGCCATTTTGTCTGTCAGTTTTGGGCCGATTTTCACGAAATTCGAACTCAGTCGTCCTTAGGGTGTAACGGTGATATAATAATACGGTTTTTTTTAAATCGGATAAAAATTATGACCTCTATAGGGTCCACAAGCTAAAAACGCGATTTTTCGTACAATCAGGGGGCATAATTCAGGAAGTTACGTTCCGATATGCACGAATATTGGAAGGAAGCGAGATCTTTGGGTTATAAGCATACATTTCAAGTTTAAACCAAATCGGATAAAAATTGTGACCTCTACAGTGTTCACAAGCTAAAAACGTGATTTTTCGTACAATCCGGTGCCATAATCCATGAAGTTACGGTCCGATACATGCCAATATCAAAAGGAACCGAGATCTTAGGGTGATAAACGTATATTTCAAGTTTCATTAGAATCGGATAAAAATTGTGACCTGTAGACTGTTTACAAACAATTGTGGACGGACGGACGCGACGACTATATACGTCCACATGAAAATGTGGGCGTATAAAAATACAAGTGACCTCATATACATTTATTAAGTGCTGTATAGTGCTATACGGTTTATGTTTCATGAATCTATAAGACGATCATCATGTATATAAGCATTTGCCGACCATTTCAGGCATTGTTCTTAATCGGCAAAACTATACAGTTGTCCAAAGGCCCGCCTATTGCTAGAAAACAACGTTATACTAATCTGTAAGATGATCATCATTGATATCAAGATTATCACATTATTATCAAGATTATCACTCTCGTAGTGGTATTAATCAAATGTGGATATTAAAAGAATTACTTGATAGTTTGCAATCTAGACCACTTGCTTCAGTCTCATATGTACAAACGTTTGACTTTTCTACTTTGTACACAAAAATTACCCATAGTAAATTAAAAGCTCGGTTTAAAGACATTATTCACAGTGTCTTTTCATCTAAATCGGGAACGGTTAGATATCAATATTTAGTTGTTAATTACAATTCCATATGTTTTGTTAAGAACCATAGGGATTCCAAAAATAAATTCCAAAGATAATTCAGATGTTGGATTTTTTAATTGATAATATCTTTGTTGAATTTTGAGGGGAAATTTATTAGCAAGTGGTACGTATCCCCATGGGTACCAACTGTGCACGTTTGCTTGCTAATTTGTTACTATATTCGTACGAAGCCGATTATACACAGGCAATCGCAAAAACAAATAAAACGACTAGTCAGACATTTTAATTTCACTTATCG